CTTCTCAGCAGAAACTCCTCAAACGTATATGAGACATGCGCCACGAAGGTATGACGATCCATTCCCTATCACTAGGACGTTACTTTTCTAATCAGAGAAATGTCAGCCATCTACCTATCCATCGGAGGAAAACAAAAAAAAAACGGACCGCCCGGTTCACCACCATACGTAACGGGCCCGGAGAAGTAAACATAGTATACCCCCCCTATATGTTGAACTTCGCGCTAATCTAAGCTGGATAATCAGTAAAACAAAAAATATTCTGAAAGGCAAAAAAGAACTAGAGAACGTTACCATACCCATAAACGGACCACCCGCATCAGCCGTCCACAATGCATCGCAATCCCTGTTACACCCTAGATCGAGACATACGTCCACCATACACAATACACATAACCTGCCGAACACGCCAAGAATGGCTAAAAAGGTTCCTGCAATAAGTTGAACAAAAAAAAGCAAGATGCAAAGGCGAATAGAATATAACGAACCCCAGGGGCCACCCAACGAAAAAAAAAAAAAAAAAAACAAGCACCCCCCAATCCAGACGACACTCCCAACTTCCAGAAACACGCGCATGCCAAACAAAGACCCAAAGAAACAGCGCTGAAGCCCATTGACATCAGACTTCCCTCCATGAACACTCCGCACGTTCAGCTCAGCTACAGGCAAAACCCTCCACTCCACACGCTCACGACCGTGGAAGCCAAAAAAGCTGTTGAAGACCAGTGCTCTCCGGTTGAGCATTCTCCAAGTGATAGACCGTCGAGAGCGGAAGAAGTGGGGAGAGGGGAAGGAGTGAACGGAGAGAAGCGCTCGAATCCTCGGAAAAGCAAAAAAAAAAAAAAAGAAAAACGAAAATTCGGAGAGACCGTAACGTATGGAATGGAATGATTACGAGGAACGAGTTGAAGGGACAGTCATCCATAGAAGGGAGGGAGGAGAGGCAGTAGGACAGTAAGAAGTAGACTTCGGATGACGGTGAGCGGCTGGCTGACATCGAAAGACCTAGAGGGCGTAAGGAAGCGACCTCTTTTTGCGAATTTGAGATTTGTTTGGACGGTCTGCGAAGGTTCGAGGATAAGCGAAGCTAGTTTCTGAAGGTCTTCGTTACTTCTGTGGGGTTTCTGTGGGGGTTTTGGAAGGAGCATGCTTGGAGGGCTACGTAATCGAAAAGATTCGAATTGCTCCCAATAAACTAGTTTTACTACACCTGGGGAGGAAGTCGAAAAAAAAAAAGTAAAGGCGAAGGGGAACATGGTAAAGCACCAGCATTCACCCAATAAAGGTAACGAAACCTACACTCCTTCCAAGGAAAGAAAGAAAGAAAAAGAAACGAGGGGGGGGGAAATAACATCCGCCGACGATCGTACGAACACGAAACGTACATATAGAACCAATTCGAAGAAAAGAAAAGAAAAGAAAAAAGGCAAGTTCGGACGACGTCGATAGGCTGTAGGCTGTAAATTGTAGGCGACAACACAGGCCCCCAGGGGACATCACTTCTTCCACAAAGCAGAAGCAGATAATCAACCCTAGGGACGACGGCGAGGTGTAGCGTTGAACATAATGTAAAACAGCTTTTGACCAAGTTTTCGGAGAGGGGACACCATCCCAAAACCCACGACACCAGACAGTCGTCAACCAGCATCCAGCCCAATCGGGCAAAGGGGTACAGACGAACCCCAGCAACACCACCACACCCCTTCAACCCCAACTCTTAGTCCCTTCACTACAACCCCGATCCCGTCCCTCACAAAATAACAAAAAAGCGGATTTGGAAGTCAAAGAACCCCCCTCATACACCATGACCCGCAAACCCCGAATCAAGGACATATGGAGCGGAGGGTGATGAAAGAAAAAGTCCAGAAGGCACTCAGAGCAGCGGAGGGGTACTCCCGTACCACTCTTGGATAGGGAAGGGGAGGGGGGCGGACAAGGAAGTGAAATCCGTCGATTAACCTCTCGAGCGCTATGATGGAGGGGTCAAGGAAAAACCCCGAAAAACGAAAAATCGTAGAGGCTGTAACGGGTAGTCGAAATAACCCCGTTAACGAGGGATGAGTTGGAGGATATGGAGTCATCCGTAGAAGGGAGGGGAAGGCAGCGGGATAAGAGGGCGATGGTAGAGAGTCGGGCGACGGTGTCGAAAGACTAGAGGGCCGTAAGAAAGCCACCCCTGTATGGGAACTTCGAGATACGTTCGGAGAATGTCGGATATACAATGGTTGCGAAAATTTGAGGATACGCGAAGCCAGTTTCTGAAAGGGGCTTCGTTTCCCTTCTGCGGTAAGATTGAAAGGGGAAGCTTTGGAGAGAGAGAGGGAAATCGCGATTTCGAAATTGCTCCCGACATAGTAGTTTACTCCGCCTGCCACATAAGGATATACCGTTAACCTCTGCCTGTAACGACAAACATAACTCACCAGAATTAGCAGCACAACCAACACATAGACATCACCACACAGAATCGGATTTTCGAGGCCCGTGTAGGATAACACCGCGAATCGTTTGTTCGCCCTGATCTGAATTCGATTCTTCAGTTATTAGGTTTGATGATGTAGGAAGGCAGCGTACATAAGAGATCCGAGCCAATAAAACAGAGGCAGTTCAGATTTCAGGAAACATCAGATCTGGAAAGCTTGCCTGGATACCAAGATCCCATCCGACCGCCCTATCATCGGTACTAAGATCCCTATTGTCTTGAACTCCACGTCTGTTCCGTAGGGGATCGAACCTTGAAAGCTTGAACGATGGCTGGACCTGAGAGTGATGTACATGGTCATGATGGGAATCAGCGCGGTGCATGAAGAAGGAAGTTAAGGTTTGTTAGGACGAGTAGAGCTCTATAAGGCCGACATCACTTTTTTCCAATTGAGGGGGGGTCGATGGAGCGGGGGTATTGGAGCAGGGTGAATGCGTTCTGATGGCTGTCGACCGGCAGCTGCGCGAGATTTGAATCGTTCGCCAGTCGGGGAAAAGAACGTCAACGACACCTTTGTCAAGAACAAGTAGAGGTCACACCGCGTCACACGTCATGTTTTTTTTTGAACGAGAATAATGATTGGCGAGGAATAGTGTATTACATCTAACGGACTTGCTAACTCTTCTCTTGCTCCTTGTTATCCCGAATCTGTTTAGCAAACTTGAAACAAAAAGTCAGCATAGTTTTGACAGATAATACGCAGTAAACGCACCGAAAACGTCCAAGATACCCCATCTTTCTGCGGTTGAATGTATCGTGTCTGCAGCAATAAAACGTCGTCAAAGCACGAAACAAGAACAACAACGACCTCACCTCTTTCGCAGAACTAAGCTGGAAAACACCATACATAATCACAGTCGATCCAGCCAAAAAAATAGCCGTATTTGATTTCCAATTCGATGGTCTAACCCACCAACCACCTGCAATCCCCTCGTTTCAATTCTTTTCGTGTAAGGAAAATGGGACGGAAACGAACCAGCAGGTGACCAGACGTGTTTTGGATAGGGATATCTTGCGCCTCCTCCCTAGTAGAGCCTTGAGTCGGCCGGAGACAACGACGAGGGGAGCAGCTTACCATTTTTCTAGTTTATGCGCGCAATGCGGTGAACGATGAGGAAAGGTGCTTCTGACGTTGTCCGAAATGTCCCATGTGTGGGGTTAGGGTTGAGATGCACGTGTGTCCGGGTCTAATGACCGAGGCACTGTTACCTCTCTCTTGTGACGATGGTCTTTGGTCGCGCCAACTCCCACAGCCTTTGCAAAGGTACTCAAGATGATCTCTATAGAAACCAATTCCACTCGCCGCGATCTGCTCGCTTCAAGTGTAAAGCCACCTTGCGCACCTCCTGGTATTGGCACTTTTTGTCCTTTTCTGACGCCCTATACACTGACACCCGGAAACCACGTACGGGCCACTCGAGTAAATTAATTATAAAACTCCTCCCCAATTTCCTAGGCCTCGGCCGCAAGCTCGTCTCGGTTCTTAGACTCCAGAGTACTAGTATAAAAGAATCGAAGATGACTCTCATCCGTCTCAAACTCCTCCATACCACGAAACCTCAACCCATCTTCACAACCAAAAAACAAAAATAATGCCATCTCAAGTCTCAATAACCACAACCTTCCTCGACGCTCTCATCTCGTTGGTCGTTCCTCCTGATTTAGCCGTGAGTCCCCCCCCCCCTCTTATCGGCGGCGGCCTCTTCGTCTCATACTTCTTACTCGCGCAAAAGGCCTCCGGCTCACACTGCCAAGCCGCATGTTGTAAACACCAACACCAACATCAATCCAAATCTGCAATTGCATTCGAAGCTAAAAAGAAGGAATAAATCTGTCGGGACGAAGAGGACTTTTTTTTTGCGTAATTTGGTTCATGGTGCGTTTTTTTACTCAATTTTTCCCTATGTGGTCTGATTTTCTCAACGGAAGTTTGTGTCTACAGAGACAGAGGATTTAAATGTGACTCGGGATATTATTTTTTTTATGTGTCTTCACACATGTACATACATATACGGACACGTACTCTTATCGTATACCCCATCAGCCGTCCATGGTAGGTACTAGTACCTAACACCGCGCAAGCTCCAAACGCTCTGTTAGTGTAACGGTAATCATATCCGCTCCATTTCGATTTGTTGCCAACGTTTAATAACATGCGGGAGATGCAGGTTCTACTCCTGCACAGGGCACTATTCATTGATGTCAAACGCATTTTTTTTCTTTCTCCCCAGTACTTTTGTCCTTTGAACCTCAGATGCCTCACTCTCCAGAAGAACACAAACTCGTTTCCCCCCACCCGTGTCCTCGGTAACATCGTTTACAACCCCTTTCCTAGTACCTCAGATCTCTTGTGATAAGTGGTCTCAGAAATTCATAACTCAACGACATTCGTTTTGGGAGGTTGGAACGAAATGATCGATTATTCCGCCGCCAAGTGCTATCCCCAAAAAACCTACAAACCTACCCTTCGTATCCTTCAGCCGTCCACGGTAAATATGTTTGACCGCAAAGTCTCAACGCCCTGTTAGTGTAACGGTAATCACATCCGTTCCATATAACGCTTCCGATGCAGGTTGCCGACGGAGAATGCAGGTTCAACTCCTGCACAGGGCTCTTACCATGATCTTCCGCCCCTTTTTTTTGCCCTTTTCTCCAAGCTAGTGCGTTATTATTACCCACGCAGGAACGATCCATGCCGTACGCACGTAAGTGTAACTTTTATATATATAGATATTCCATTAACTTATCCATTTTTTCGCCTTTCCGAGCCACCGGGAATCTCTACGTTAACTGAGACTGAACCGGAAGGGAAAAGCTCCTCGAGCGATCAAATTCAAACACAAGCTATGCTTTTCACGACACAAAAAAAAAAAAAAATCGCCGCAAACCCGCGTAGTAACCAAGCTTCAGGCTCGACACTCGGCCACCATCTCTTCAGTTTCTTTCCATCATCGAAAAACGACTGATTCTTGCCTCCTTCAACTTTTGAACGGATTGGGTCAGATCCATAGGTAGGCTCTCGCACATATACAGCTGTCAAGTTCAATGTAGACGCCAACTCAAACCCTGAAGTTGGACTCGGAGCTTCGGCTAAATAAAAAAAAAAAAGAGAGGATCAAAGTAGGTTTTGAAAATCGCGCAGGAACTTGAAATCACGAGGGTGGACCTTGTTTCCTATTTTCTCTTTTGGCATATATCGATACGTTTTTTTTTCTTCTTCCCGGGATGCGTTCTGATTTGACCTTCACTTTCAAAGTTTTTTTTTTTTTCTGTTAATTTTAGATTTTAGAATTGGATTCAGAACGGAAGCTTGGAGCCGAATGGGTTACAGTTGGATACTTTCTATGGAATAATGTCATATGGAATAACCGTGGTTTGGAATAGGATTCTGGCTGCCCCGACCATATTCCATATGAAGTATCTGACTGTACTTTGAAATCCCAACATCAACTCGGGTCGTTTTGCCGATGATAGAAAAGCGACTACATACATAAAGAGACGGGGATCCGGAGTTTCGAGCCTAAAAACTTGAAGCTTGAAACTTGGTTACTGTGAGTACTACGCAGACACGGACTCCAGACTCCTTGGGCTTGCGGCGATTTTCTGTGTGTTGTGAAAAGCATAGCTGGGCTTGTTTTTAATCGCTCGAGGTGTTTTCTCCCCCTCCGGATCAGTCTCAGTCAAACTTAGAGATTCTCGGCCACGGTGACTCGGAAAGACGAAAAATCGGAATAAGGTAACTGAGCTATATATAAAAGTTAGACTTGCGTGTGTACGGTATGGATCGTTCGTGGGCACCTGAGGGTCCAAAGGGACATAATGATAATAATAAGGAGCCCTGTGCAGGAGTTGAACCTGCATCCTCCGTCGATGTGAATTGGAGTCACATATGTATCTGGAACGGATGTGATTAACGATACACTAACAGGGCGTTTGAAGATTTACGGTCAAACGTGGATGTTATCTACTGTGGTCAGTTGAAAGAGAAACAGGGTGAGAGGGTATATGAATGGCACTTGGTAGATTCCAAGAATATAATATCTGAGACCACTTATGAAATGGGAGCTTTGAGGTACTAGGGGTTGTAAACGATGTTACTGAGGACTTGCGTACGGGTGGAGGAATGAGTTTAAAATTGTGTTCTTCTGGGGAATGGACATGGACAAAAAACTGTAAGCCTTGATCAGCGAGGGAATAATATCGTGGGTCGTAAAGTGGGGTGGGGGAAGTGTGTGTGTGTGTGTGTCGAGATTGTGTATTTTTCTGCTCCGAATTGTTTTAGAGGTTCTCCTCGCGGGATGTCGATATTTTTTTGATAAAAAGACGATGGAGTTACGTAGAGAGAGTGGGGCACCTGAGGTTCAAGGGACAAAAGCACTGGCGAGAAAAAAAACTGACCGAGATTAAGTACCCTATACAGGAGTCGATCCTGCATCTCCCACCGGCAGTTTCCCGCAACACCGAAGGATTTGAAACGCTCAACGCAAATCTGAGGGCCCTGACACCAATTTCAGGAAATCAGGTGCATTGAGTAACATCCAAGGGCGTCCATCTTTCGGCGGTAACATGTACATCTCTGAAACAGGAAGCCCAAAGTAAAAGTGGGTGGGAAACGCCAAACTTACAACAATGGACTATTTTTTAGAAATAAGCTAGAAAACACCATACGCATTTGATTTCCATTTCGATGGTCTAACCTTGCAGCCACCGATCTAACCAATAATAAGAATAGGCGTAAGTTGCCCCCCTTCAACACAACTTGTGGCCTCCTCCCCTGGAGCAATGAACCCACTTTGAATACCACTACAGAAAATGAGCTCACTGGCGTTCTGCTGCTTCTTGTCCTTGCACGACGGTCCGGACGATGCTGATGAACTCGCTTCCGGTGCTTCAAAATTCAATTCTGTATTTCTGTCTGAGGTTTACCTTGCATTGTGGGGTTTTGCCGACGCGATCATCTAGGGCAACTCAATTTGTCCCTTCGCCCTCCCCTCTCATTCATCTTCGTTTCACATTTGTGATTTTGGAAGGGTATTACTCAGTTTTTTTGGCTCACACTTTCACGCCGCATGCAACAAACCTAAATCTCAAGGTGAACTAAAAAGGAGGACTAATCAGGATTTGAGTTGGGGAGAGGGAGTGACTTTACTTCACAGTTTTTCTTGTACGGAACGAGTTGCGTATAGATCTACGTAGATTCACTCACATTGAATTTTTTCCTAAATTGGGAGGCGTGCTATGGGATTTTCCCCACCCCGCGGCCGGGCGCTCGTCTTGTCTAACACTGCCAGAACAGACCTCGACTACGTTTCGTCGCAATATCACGCCCTTTCCGTTTACAAACTAAATAGAAGCTGTACCCCACTTCGACCAGCTTCCAACAAGAAATTTGACTGATTTATACAATTTTCCTTGCAAACACGATTCATGTGAACATCTCTCAGGAGCTCTCTCAGTGAGTTGTGACACCGCTCACCGTTTGAATTGACAAGAATTTGGATCACTCGCCTTGCAAAGGCTGCATAATTCAGCTTGTAGGGTTTTGAAAAGTTTGAGGGGTCTATAGCATCGTACCAAGTTTCTAGTCTTGGAGGCTACCATGGCCGTTGACGGCATGTGTTTTATCTCAATGGCACAGCCTTTTGGGACACGAGAGGGTGCACGAGGCTGTCGACATTTTCACAGCCTTCCTTATCTTCCCCCATCATACGACCCACCCATCCTTTCCGCTCATGTTGAGCTACTCGTCTCAAAATACCATCCGACGGGGCACATTCAACCATCTTGAACACGGAAATCAGTACAACATCACTAACAACAATTACTCACCACCGGATTCTCAACCCCAGTTTTTGCCCGAAGACGAGTGGAAGATTCAGTTGTATCGGGAGGTGTGTTGAAGCTTGTATCAGAACTCCCCTTGTTGACAACATTCATTTTCAGTTCAAAAGGATTTCCCTAGGAGATTGCAATATTTTGCAGACAATTTGTGAGGCAAGAGCACGCAGAAGGGAATATGAAGACCATGAATTGGAATATGTAGCAGGTCGTGATGATTCCAGGGCGAAGCGAATATTTAGTGTGGCTCGCCTTGGTAACGGTCTCTTCTCAAGCATTACTTATGTGGGCCCTGATGCTATGAAGGTGTGTTTTAATTTAGCTCAGGACTCCATTTTGATTCAGCCATTATTTCAGGTTTTCAAAAAAGACTGTCTTGCATTTTCACAAATTAAGTGCGCAAATGTTGGTGTCTGTTGGCCTCTCTTGATATCAACTCGGTGAACTTTGTAGGCATGCTAGTTCTGCGCAGCTTCATGCATTCAATGACTCTCACCAGAATCCTATGACTTTTTTCCATGATGGTGAGCTATGACACATTTCAAAAGGGGATTCATAACGCGACCAGACATATAGAGTTGGTTCCAATAGCACATGTTTTTCACAACCATCCAGACTGTAGAGATGCATTATCACAATATGTTGTTCTTTGGAATGCTTTGGTGTGTCTGCTGTCATCTTTAGCCATCTTTTTGCTAATGCAGAATGTTGATCAGATGTGTCGACCACCTTTCTTTCAATATTGGGATCAAATATGGTTTCGTCCACAGGATGGGACAATGATTTATGGACCTGACGGACCATTCTTCAGGGGCAATAATATTCTCCCATTGGTTGACTACTCTGCATTGGTATCAACACACCAACACCCTCCTCCTGCCCTACCCTTGACTCTCTATAACCATCAAACACTTACAAATCATCTTGCTACCTGGCTTTCAGGGGTCTCTGCTCCTCTGAAAGGCCATTCAAACTGGCAATCTGATGGAACTTTGCCATTTGACCCAAAGTGTGTTGTGTGGTCCCCATCTTCTGCTTCTCCGCATGTCATTGCTGAATTTCCTGACATGGGATGTGATGCTCCATGGGTGCTAGAAGACTTTTCAACATACTGTAGTCCAGTTCTGCTTGATGATGGAAGGATCCGGTACAACATCTCTTATCCTCATTTCACACACTATTTTACTCATACATATCTCAGATATAAGGTCCAGACCATGCAATTTGAACCATCCTTCAGGTTTTCTCTACACCATAATCATCATGACAGCATGAGCTGGATCTGGTTAACACAAGCACACTACATATTCAAAACACTTGAAATCCCACAGGATGAGTGGGAGAATTATGGTCAGCACACTCTTAGCCCTAGATTTTGTTGACCTTACTGACTTTTCTCTTCCAGGTTTTTCTGTGCAGATAACCCTCACACTTGAGATTCTCCAACAATCAGAGCACTGCTCTCAGTGGCCTTTTTCCAGCTATTACCTTTTTGTGAACCCATTTTTGCAGTTCAGTAACAGCATCCTCTCTGTCCTTGACTGGACTTCAGGCACAAACATCTATTACTGGTCTACTGACCCCAGTGGACACTCAGTGATGACAGAGAGAGAGTGTTTTCTCCATGGTCTCCCCTGCTACCATACCAAATTTCAAACAGACATGAAAACTTGGTCACTCCATCATGATTATGATTATATGCAAAGTTTTCAAGAAGCTGAGGGATTTGATCCTTCTACAACAGATTATGCACGTTCACTTGGACAACCTCTTCT